CAGCACGCCGGCTTCACGCCCGTCCCCTCTCAAGCGGCGCCTCCGCGGCCGGAGCCGAGACACCTTCCTCGCCGTTCTCTTTTCCCCAACCTACGGTCCCGTTTTCCTCGGTTCTGCATCTCCAGGCTGCAGCTTGCTGCAGTGCTTGGCGCAGACACCTTGCGCTTCCTCTCCGCTGGCGCACGGGCCAAGCGGGCTCATAACTCTACTCCAAATAAAGCTTAGAGGTGGTTTCCTCGCCTCTTTTCTCCCTGCTTCCATGAACAGCCCTGTTTTTCCAATATTTTTAAACATGACCCTAAATCTTCCTTCGCTTCCTGAAACGATCAGTTTGCTGCACGCACTAATGCTGCACCACTGCACAACTCCAAATGCAGTTTGCTATAGGGGAACATTTGTGGAAAGTTTTTACTTTAAAATTTTACAGAAAGCCTGCATTTGAACTACAAATGTTGCCAGAATTCCTTTTTTTTTTTGGTTTTTATTTGTTTTTTGTTTGTTTGTTTTAAACTGTACACGTGTTAACCAGGCCGTTGGAGCTTCCATGGCGAATGAGATCAGACTTGAACAAGTTCTGTTTGTAAAAACCTTCAGGCTTTCTGCCCGGAAGGTGCTGAGTTTCTTTACTCCTAATGGGAGACCTTATGGACCACAAATGGGAAGGTTTACTGAATAAATAACCTAGGGGTGGTTTGTTTTGTTTTGTTACTTTTCACAGCTGCATGGAAGTAGGTCAGTGTTCAACAAAGGGCTTCTTACAGTGAGACCTGTAGGCGTTAGCGGCTTTAATTAGGGGTGTGATGCTGTCCCCAGTACCTGTCCTCCTTCCACCCCCGAAACCAGGTGGCTGCTTCGTTCCTGCGCTACTGCTGGCCGAGTCTCTGCTGCTACTAAGCTTAGTTTTCCTGTGCGATCATGTAACCGTCCCTTTGAATCCTCCCATTAATCGACGGCTGTGGTATCAAATTTAATCTTCTTGTGGTCTTTTCAAAGGTGTACGCCTGCTTTTGTCCCTCTCCTCTCTTCCTCCCTTACCAAAGCCTCTGTTGTTTCTGTCCTTGCTGCTCTGCCTTTGTTTTCAGCCTGCCTGCCCTTTGCTAGTGTCTTTAAACACGTCTTGGCTTCCTTTCACCCCTATTCTAGCACCACTCAGGCCACTGGCCAAACACTCTTTTCATGGTGAATCAAGTGAACTTCAGTATGCATTGCTCAAAAAATGGCAGTTTCTGTTCTTTCTCTAAACCTTGCCCACCCCTGGTATTGCAAGTCCTGTGAAACGGGGAACATCCCCAAGTGTCTGGGAAGGCTGGCACGTAATGGCTTCTGCAGCTGATGACTGTTAAATTATGTACATGTACTTGCCCATGCTGTCTAATAATAGATCTGCAATTTGCCAAACTAAGTAGTTCGATTTAACATGATTGTAACTGCTCTTTTTTTTTTTTTTAAACTTTGTCTTGCTCTTCTTTCCATCAATAGACAACAAAGTTTACAAGTGCTTTGGATATACCTGTGGAGTTTGTAGAGAAGAATGTGAAATTGCGGGGAAAATTACATCACATAACTGAGAAAGGCCTGGAAGTTGAACACATTCCCATTAGCATTCCTTTCATTACATTGATACAGAGAAAATGTAAGTAAAGCATGTGAGGAACAAGGGTAGGAATGAAATGTTGTTGTTAATGCATCTACACGGAGAGCGAGCTTGAGAGGAAGGGTTAAGGTACGATTCTGGCTCTGCCTCTTGGTGTTTCCATGCTTTACAGGTGGGAAAGTGGGGAATAAAAGACTGCAAGGAGACCTGTAAAAAGAGCTTGCTGATACAGTATTTGTATTTAATTAGCAGCATTATTGTGATACTTTTCTGGCAGCAAAAGCTAGCATGCAGGCAATGCATTTGCTTGCAGAGCTCATCTCCTGACAAAAAGGCTCTGGTGGGATCACGTTTTTATGTAGATGAAGATCTGACGGCTGCAGATACAAACCCTTCCTCATGGACAGTTTTTCTGTGACTTTGCAGAAGTTGTCCGTAGAGCCTGTGAGTCGCACACTTGCTTTGTGAATACCTGCAGGTGCTGATGTGTCCTGGGGAACTAAAATGGATTTTTTTTTTAAGTCCATGGGAATAAACTCATTACCAACAGCTGAGGGTCTATGCAAAGCCTGAATCTTCCTTTGCTGCATTCAGTAACGAAGTTCTCTCTTTCTATAACCAGGGCAATCAAAAGGTCTTCTGCTGGTAAGACTTGCTGGAGTGGAGTTGGCTCCGAGCGGCATGGCCTGGTTACAGCAAGAGTTAAAACCCAAACAAATGATATGGTTCCAACTTCTCGGAAGGGAGGACTTGGCACTCGAGTGCCTTGTTTTAGTAAATAAGGTGAATACAGTGACAAAAATTGACTTTTATCTGTAGATTTGGGTTTGACTGTAGTTATGCAGTTCAGTTATCTCGGTACATTTAAGGAATGTTATTATTTATAATTTATCTATCTTGATATGAATTTTAAATGTTGTATTTGTAAATCTGACTTCAAGAGTGGTATTTCTGCAGGCTCATTCATGAGATGAGTGTGTTTCCCTGTCAGACAGTGCTAGGCTATATCGTGTAGTTCTGGTCACTCTGCTGTTCAGTCCATCAAATGTTCTCTCACAAGTGCCTTGCATTAGTGTTATGTTTGAACAGTCAGCTGGATTCCTCTTGACTCTTAACTCTTTCTGCCAGAGCGCAGATTTAGCCGGAAGTAAAGCTTGTATCTCAGGAGTTCACACAAAAAAATAAACAGAACTGGTTTAAAGGTAAAGTGAATATCGTATTTATCGTGCATTTTTACAGGGTCGATTTCTCAGCGTGTGCTTAAATGAAGAGATCTTGAGGCAAGGGCTTGGCAGAACAGCACGTATTGAAGGACTACATCACGATACCCCCCTGTACTGGAAACTTCACAAAAGACTGCTTCGAGCAGAGTTAAAGGCCTTGAAGAAAAATAAAGGAATATGGAAGGAAGAAAGCTACTCTGAAAGAATTAGAGATCGTATAAGCAACAATAAATTTGTACAGACATTGAAACAATTTGCGAGCTGGTTAAAAAGTTCTATTTAAAGGTAAAAAGGGAGATTTGTTTGGAGGAATGCCAGTTACCTAGGTTATGTGCTTTATGTAAAGTAGAAGTGTATGATAACAGACAGTGCCATAATTTTGAGGGTCCCTGTCTTGAACAGAAAACTCACAAAGTTACCTAATGCCGTATTATAATCCACGTGGGATTGAATTTTAGTAGTAGTATGCAGGTCATAAATTAAGGTCTTCTGAAGCCAAACTTTTCCACAGTATTTGTCCTAAATTAGTTTTCCAGTTTTCCACCTGCTAAATACCTACACAGCTGTGTTAACTAACTCGTGAAAGCAGTCGACAGCCCAGTTTTTAAGAGGTGCTGAGTGTTAGTTCACAATGTACGGCCTTAAATGCTTCTCTGTTACATGTCATTACTATGCAACCCCCATTGGTTAGAAAACTCCATTTCAGACCTTTACAAAGCTTGTGGTATGTGTTTACACACGAGCATTTTGTTTGAATTCTATTCTTATACTACTTTTGTATGTAACTTGTGTTTTTAAAAATCTTTCATCTTGAATGATGGGTTGCTTTGTTACCGATATAAGAGGTAATTTGTTACGGCTGATCTCAAAAAGCTGATAAGGTCATAACAGCTAAAGTTTCTTGGGGAAAAAAAAATCACTTGGTATATCAAAGAATGTAAATTAATGTGTCAATAATCCACATTTTTAGAAGACAACATTAAACTGAAGAGGAAAAACATGCTGTTTTTTCTGATGGTTCTATAAATACCAAAAATTAGATGAAAATAGAACTTTAATATGAAATTGGAAAAGGTGGACCACACTGTGCTAAGAACTTAAATTCTTGTTCTTGTTTTATTTTTGAAATGTATTAAGTATGACTATTATTGTTTTGTAAATATTGTCAGAATAAAGATTGAATTTCTATGTTCATTGTTACATGTTTTATGTACCAAGCACTTGACCTTTATTTAACCTCACGCAGTCCAAATATTTAAATGAAGTGTTTTACAGTTTTCTGTGCATTCCCTTGCCAATCAAATACTAGGAAGAAGAGTGTGGTACAAAAAGATCTTAATAGCTGAGCATTGCCTTTCTGACAGTTACTGTGTCATCATTTTCTCTACTGATTTGAGGGCAAAATTGTGAACGCTGAGATCCTAAAAAAAAAAAAAAAGCAGCTTTTCCTTGGATAAGAATAGATGTCAGTGCTACTTTATTACTTTTGTTCCTGGATCGTCTCAGGGATGAGGCTGGTTTTTGCAAAGCACAGTGAGCAGCAAGCCATGAAGTTCCTGCAGCGCAGATCTGTGGTGGAAACCAATCTGGGGGAGAGGAGAAGCAGCTCTGTGGGCAGAGGCAGACCTGTGCCTGTTTTTAAAAAAAAAAAAAAAAGTGAGGCACCTGGTTTTACGCATTATACAGTAAAGGACTGGGACAATCACTGCTGTGGTACTTGGACATAAAAGTTGTACAGATGGTCAGGGATTCAGGATTGGCCATCGCGTCCTCCAAGTTAAAAGCTGACTTTTAACACCAAACTACAAATTCAGTCTCGGCAATAATCCACTTCTGGGTGATTAGAAGTGTTCCTATTCCTACATCTGGTAAGTAGCAAGAGCTTTTCCAAACTGAGCATAATTGTACAGTTATAATATTTTTTGTGGTAATAATTAAATATAATTCTACCTGGACTTTACACTTCTGTTTTGTAAATGAGTCATAGGAGGATTTGTCATGAAAATCCTCTGTAAAGCTGAGAGAAAAATCTCAGGAAACCGCATGCTACATTTCTAGCAAGCAGAGGTGAGGTGTGGGCAAATATGAAGTTTGTTCCCTCACAGTCTTGCCTCTTAGCCCTTTTTACCCTTGATGGAGTTCAGAAAAACCCTAGAGATTTTTCTATATTACAGCAAAGCATTGTATCCTTTCCATTAGATTGTGGTTTGTGAAGGATTTTTAAAAGGTGGTAATACAGCTGCTTTATCACTTATTTAGCCTTCTCTTAGTTTGAACTAAATTTTTGAAGTTTCCTTCCCTGTATTTGTGGCCATGAGGTAGTCTTAACAAATAATTTCAGAAGGAATATGGAGAAGGATATCTAAACTCTTTGAATTCAGGACTCGGATCTCTTTTCGTGTTTGTTGCACGTAAAGTTTTGGTGATGTGCTCTTACTATAGTTCTTGGTCAGAATACAAACCCAGGGAAAGCAGCTTTATGTACGGGGTCAGTGGTGTAACAGAGAACACTAGTCTCACAGAGAGTGAGTGGTGCAGGATTTGAGATTGTAATGACAACTGATTTCATGAGAGTCAACTCCTGTAATTGTTTGTTAATGCTGTTTGGCTTATCGTCCAGGGCTTATCTGTTAAAAAAAAAAAAACAAAACACACCCTCCCCCTTCAAAAAAGCACAGCTCAGTTCAAAGCTGTGCTTTCCATCTGTGCAAGGCTTGAAAGGTTGCAGATCCTGTCTCCGTGGGAGGCCTGTCCATTGAAAAACTGGTAACAGGAGTAGAAACAAATAGCTCTGCAGAATCGAGTTGAAGAACTGACTGGGAGGTCAGGGGGAGGAAAAAGCACTTTTCTCCACTATATAAAGAATACCCCACGCTGCCACTATCCCATTCCTTCAGCCACTGCAGCAATGCACACAAGAGCATTTCCAAGCAGAGGATGCAGTTCTTGTGTGATAAGCAATAAGGACAAGAATTAAACTGTTTAGCTCTTGTGCCTTTGCCCCTGTGACTCTGAATTGCTCTGCTGTGAGCAATACATCATCTTAAAAAGACCATAGGGAGCGAAAGGAGAGGCCTCCAAATGGCCCACTAAGAAAAATACCTTTCAGCATTGCACAGGCTTTTTATTGCTGGTGCAGCATGTAAGGCAAATGGTGTCATAAACATTACCAGCCTTCCTTGGAGCCCACTCGAAAGCGGTGGGCACGGTGCTGTTAGCATCCTTTCCTGACAGACTAACAAAGAAGCTTGGCCCTGCGCATGGAGGAGTGATGGGCATCTGGGGGGTCTTCCCCCTGCCAAGGTCCCTGGGACAGGACAGACAGCAGTCGCCTTCCTCGGGTTACACCGCTTGTTCATTGCAATGTCCTGGCTCTTTTCGCAGTCTGTCAGAGCTCACACCTGCTGGTTCCCCATAAAATGCTCCTCGGTCGCCCACGGGACGATCAGATATAAGCAGTCGCCTTCCTCGGGTTACACCGCTTGTTCATTGCAATGTCCTGGCTCTTTTCGCAGTCTGTCAGAGCTCACACCTGCTGGTTCCCCATAAAATGCTCCTCGGTCGCCCACGGGACGATCAGATATAAAAAGTTGTAATTTCGAAAGCAGAGTTTTAGACTTAACCTCCTCCAGCAGAGAGGCGCGCTCCCGCCCGCCAGCGCTTTCGGCGGGCGCGCGGGCGCCGGGTGGGAGGGGCAAGGGAGGGGGC